TTTAGTGTCATTGTGTTGCCTGTAGCGTTGGTGTTTTTGGTGATGTTCTCTAGCCCTTTCTATTCTTTGTTGGCTTGGTGTCTTTTGTTTTGTTTTGTCTTTTCTCCAGTCAGAGAGTCCCCCTTAAAATTTCTTGCAGGGCTGGCTTAGTGCTCATGAACTCCTTTAGTTTTTCTTTGTCTGGGAAAGTCTTTACCTCTCCTATTTTGAATGACAGGCTTGTTGGATAAAGAATTTTTTGGCAGTGTATTTGTCTGATGCAGCACAATGAATATATCCTGCCACTCCATTCTGGCTTGCCAAGTTTCTGTGGACATATCTGCTGTGACCCCGTCTGTCTTCCCTTGTAGGTTAAGGACTTTTTCTTCCCCATTGCTGCTTTTATAATTCTTTCCTTCTCTGTGTATTTTGTGAATTTGACTATAATGCGCCTTGGTGATGGTTGGTTTTGTTGAATCTAATGGGATTTTCATGTGCTTCATGGATTTTGATGTCTGTGTCCTTCTCCAGCTTAGGAGAGATTTCCACTATAATTTTCTCTCATAACCTCCTGCCCCTTTTTCTCTCTCTTCATCTTCTTGGACTCCTATGATTAGGATATTATTCCTTTTCAATAAGTCACTGAGTTCTCTATATCTTGTATTGTGATCTTTTGCCTTTGTTTCCCTCCTTTTATTCTGCTTCATTATTTTGGATAATTTTATCCTCTGTATTGCTGATTCGCTTCTGTGCTGCTTCCATCCTTGCCATCATGGCATCTATTCAAAATTTCATCTCAGTAATAGAATTTTTAATTTGGCCTGACTAGATTTTATTTCCTTTCTCTCCACAGACAGGGATTCTCTGGTGTCTTCTATGCTTTTTTCAAGCCCAACTAGTATTCTTATTATTGTATTTCTAAATTCTAGTTCAGACATCTTACTTATACCTGTGTTGATTAAACCTGTGTCATTTCTTCCTGTTCTATCTTTTGTGGTGAATTCCTTTTTCTCATCATTTTGGAGGAAGAAAATATTTAAAAAATTTAAAACCAATACGAATATAAAATAAAGGACAGTAGATCTTAGGTGTGTTTGGGTCTGTTTGTTGAAGGAAACTTGATAGGATAGAGAAAAATAGGAAGGAAAGAAAAAAAAGTTAAGGAACTTTAACAATTCAAAAAAGTATATAATCGAATGAAATAAAGTAAATAAAATGGAATAAAAATTTTAAAACATGAAAAATCACATTAAAATTTTAAGAAGATAAAAAAAAAAAAAGATCTGCTCATTCTGTATCCAGAAAAGAGAAAGAAAAGAAAGAAAAAAGGAAACAAGTCAAGCAAAAACAGAAACAAAGAAAGCAAATAAGTAAAGGAGCCAGCAAAGACAATGAAACCCGAAAGAAGTTCCATCTAGTTTCTCCTAGAGCTGAAATTGAAGCACAGTAAAGTCCATACACCAGGCAGGTGGAGGGATGTGCTGGTCTTCTGGAGGATGTGCCTGGAGGGTGCAGTTGGTGGGGCTTCCTGTATCAGCTCCATCCCCCACTCGGTGGCACAACTTAGCTTCTTGGGGGGATCACTGTGCATGAGCACATGACAGTGTGCAGTAGAGGTGAAAAAAGCTTCAGGCAGCTCCCAAGTCCCAATAGAACTTCCCGCTCTCACTGACCCCCAATCAAGCATCCTTCCTTTGGCTCAGGCCTCCATCCACTCCCTGCCTCTACCCTGTCCAAGCCGTCTACCTGCCAGGTGGCGCCTCCCTCCAGAGTTTTATCTCAGATGGTGTGGTGTTTCAAAAGCCCACACTTTGGAGACCCCCATGACTTGGACCCGCGCCAACTCTCTGGGGGAACGTCTTGCTGAGCAGTAGCTGGGTGCCAACTTGTCCCAGGAAACATTTGTGTGATCACGAAGTGGCAGAGGTTCAGAGATTATGGCAAATCACAATATAGCCGGAACCAGGTTTCACACACTGATGTCTTTGTCCCCATACCAGCAAATGTGGCTGTTCTTTGGGGTCCTCTGAGACCTTTGTCTGTAGGGAGGACATCTGGGGTCTATCAAATGCACTCCAAGCAAGGGAACCACTTCTTCCCGTGTGGCACCCGGAACCCTCAGTCCATGCTGTCTGCTCCTGGGGGTTCATCCTATGTCCTCACCTGAGCAGCGCCAGGCACTGAGCTGTGAACCTTCAGACTTTATCCTCCACTGTTTATAAAATCCTGGTGGTATTGAAACTCTCTCCTTTCTTCCCGTCAGTGGTTTTGGGGAACAGGTATTTTGTTCAGTCCCTGTAAGAGTTTTTACTCTTTCACTCTCTTTCTCTCCAGCTACTTTTGGGAGAGAGTTCTTTTCTGGCACAATCCTGATATGCCGCACTCTCCCCTTTCTCTTTCTCTCTATGGTCTCTCTCTGCGAAAATGGGCCCCTACCCTCCACAGCTTTTCTCTCCCCCAACTCACTGCTCTGCACCCTGTAAGCAACAATTTCTGTGGCTCAAGTTATGTAAATTATTGCGTTAATCCTCGGATTAATTTCCTAGGTGTTCAAAAAAGGTTTGGTGCTGATCTAGCTGTGTTACAAGGATGAGAGAAGCTCGGGGGCTCCATACTGCTCTCCCATCTTAACTCCCTCATGACCTGCCCACGTTTTGGTCTAGAGTAGGTAGCTATGGGCCCCAACTGTATGTGTCTTCCATTTACGTGATGATTGCTTTCTACTCCTCATACTGATCGAAGACATTTATACAACTCCCAGGAATGTAGTGGGATTCTAACTACACAATATGAGGACCTGCAGCTGAGTTTTTGCCGTCTTTTCGTCTTTTGTCTGTAATGTGAATGTACTCCGATTTGGGCATCAAAGTTTTACTAATACTGTAGACTGACACTGGGTGGAAGCGATTATTACCTTTATAATAGAATGAAACACACGTGCATATAGGTGGGTGTTGTCTATAGGTATGTTGTGTTACCAATATGTTTGTTGTAGTTGGCTCATATTCACTTGGGAATGATGGCTCTAATTATTACTTTCTAACTGTGCATTTAGTAAATTCACACAGGCATCTTGAAGATGGCCTTGCAGTATTTTCACCAAGGAAATCAATAAATGTGACAAATCAGGACTTTGGAAACAATAGTATTTTTTTTTAACCGAGTGCATCAATACACTATCTGGCTCCCTCTCCAAATACCATTCTGTTCATACCAAGTGAAGATATTTCCAGAAATCGACGCCGTTTATTATGTGATGAAGTAGGAATGCTTGATGGGACTAGATAGTGTTTTACTCAATGATTTTCAATGTATCTAATCAAAACTGGACTTGACAGGCATCTGTTTATTCAGTTATTTGAAAAGCATCTGTGTTCTGAGTGAAGCGATACATACACCGGAGACTGTGGCAAATAAAATAGAGAAAAATGTATTTCATGAACGTGGACCAGAGCATGATGGTGGACCCAAACCTGCCATGGGGGATGCAGTCTCATGTCATAAGGTTTAGAACAGAAGGAGGTCAGCTAACAACAAGTGAAGGAAAGCCAGAAAGGGGAAGTGGTGGGGAGTGAAATGATGATACTTTAATTTCGAAAGAGCTGCTACAGCACCAACCCGCTTTCCTGCAACCAGCCCATGCGTACACCCTGAGTAGTCTCAGCAGAATTTCCCCAGCTAGTCCCAAGATTTTTTTCCCCGATCCTCTTGGTGTCATCAGTTTTATTTCCCAAGTTCTGAATCGCTGGATGGTTGGTCTTCTCTCTCACATGTATCCTGTGGCTGCTACTTGGGTCTTTGTGCAGAGCTTGAGTGAGCAGCACCCCGTGAAGCATCAAGATCAAGGCAGACATGCTCATCTGGATGAGATTCTCCACTGTGTCATGGCTGCTTGAGGCTAGAGATTGTGGACAAAGAGATTGTAGTGGTCAGGACCGATGGAAATCACCCTGAGGTCCCTGTATGCGCACTGCAGACATCTGCAATGATTCACAGGATGTGACCCTGTGAGTCAGCCCCATTACTGAGAGTTTCTCCTCACTCATCCCTCTTGGAGTCTGGCTTGTTTCGTGATGGTGTAAGAGTATCATCTAGCGCCTGGGTGGCTTAGTCGGTTAAGCGTCCGACTTTCGCTTAGGTCATGATCTCGCGGTTCGTGGGTTCGAGTCCTGCGTGTCGGGCTCTGTGCTGACTGCCAGCTCAGAGCCTGGAGCCTGTTTCAGATTCTGTGTATCCCTCTCTCTCTGACCCTCCCCTGCTCACGCTGTCTCTCTCTCTCTCTCCTAGAAATAAATTTTAAAAAAACATTAAAAAAAGTATCATCTAATCCTGAGACTCAACACGAGAGCCTGTGTTTGAGGAGACATAGGAGTGCATAAGTAATCCCTTCTCTCATCTGCAGAGAGTCCCTGAAACTAGCGAGTGCCAATCTCGTCCCCTGGAGGGAGGGAGCATCTCCAGCGTCTCCCCTTTATCTAATTAGGAGGGGCAAATGGCAAACGGCTTAGGTCAGTCATTTGTGCCCAGGAAATAGATGGGGCAGGGTGGGGCCCCCTCACCTGTGACTGAAGGTGCAGGGGCTCACTGGGGAGTGACCACGTGTGCGGGTAGGAAGCTGGAGAAACATAGCACCTGTAGCCCCCCCCCGTGGGAGGGGCTCACAGGGCCCACAGGGAAGAGCGCCTGCCTCATCTCATGAGGGAACTTCAATTCCACCAATCGGGGTGAGTCAGCTCCCCCCTCCTTCAGCAGACGGAAGGTCTGCCATGGATGCTGTGAGCTACAGGAGAGAGACACGTTCCCTCCTGAGGTCACCACAGGGCGTGGGGGTGCGGAGAGGCAGGGTGCTGGGTACACTCCTGAGGGAAAAGGAGTGGTAGTCATCGCTCCCTGTACCCCAGTGTGGACTGTGAGCAAGAGACTCTTTCAGGCCACACTCTGTTCCCTCCACCTGGAGGAGGGGCCCCGGGGGGGTGGGGACAGCTCCTGCCTTACCTGTAACCACCAGGGCAGTAGGTCACTCTGCTCTGACCACCGTTCTGGCTGTGATACTGACACTGGTATCGCCGTGCATCATGGAGGTCATGAGTTCAAGGGAGAAACTGGCCTTGTTGCTGGAATCCTGTGATATCTCCATGGACATGGGTTGTGAGACCCTGTCTCTATACAGATAGAATGCATCAGCCTGCAGAGGCGCCTGACACCAGATGGTCACAAGTCTCCCCCTGGTGACGTTGAGGCTGGGGTCAGCCTTGATGGAGGGTTTGGGGAGGGACCCTGGAAAGGAATCAGATGCAGAATTGCGAGGGTATCTGTCTTTCTCCCCTGTTTCCCACGTGTCACCCCAATTCCCCTCCCAGACTGGTCACCATCAGCCCAGACCCTCTGTGCCCCCCAGCTGACCAGCGGGTTATTGGGTGCAAACAAGAAGTCTGAGGACCACTCACCTGTCTGTATCTGGCCCCACGGGTCCCGACACAGCCCTGGAAGAGAGTTCCCTGTGAGAGTGTCTCCCCCGCCCCTCCCATGTAGCTGCTCAAGGCCTGGTCAGGTCCACTCACCACTGGGGCCAATATGGGGCTGAACACATTCTTTCCCCTGACCTACCCCCAATGTGTCTCCCTTGTCCTGGGGCCTCTCAGGGACCAGGGCCTGGGCGCAGGAGAGAGGGCGACCCTATCCCTCCTCTTGTCCAGAAAGCTCACCGAAGAACAGAAGGGCAATGAGGGTTGCAGTCCTGATGCTGCCTCCCACGGTTCCAACAGTGCAGACAGCTTAAAAGTCAACAAAGCTTGTACGACAGACACAAGCACGGGGTGTAATATGACCCAGGTTCTGTGGTCCACAACATGGGTTCCTCATGAGGGGCCTCCCATCCCATCCAGGGCCTCGCTGTGCTCTCCCTGAAGGGCGGCCCAACAGCAGAGGCCCCGTGACCTTTCAGACCAGATGTGAGTCTCACCAGACCCCACACACCCTGCCTCCTTCCCACCAAGCCCAGTCCAGAGAGGGACTCTGCTCTGGGACACGAGGAGGTGGAGGGAGGGCCGGGACTGGGGGCCGGTCCAACTTCAGTTCTGGTTCTGCCTGTGCCTCTTACAGAGGCTGTGAGATCTGGGTGAGACACTTCCCTTTCCTGAGTCCCGTAAATGCGAAGTTCCTTCCTTCCACCTTCCTGCCAAAGAATTGGTTAATGAGTCATTACCACAACCAGTCATGGCACCAGGCACTGGGGATTCCTATTCTGTAGGAGGATGGGGTTGAGAATCAGCAGTGGTAACACTCTGACCTTAACCTGACCACTGCGTGATGGGCTGATCCCAATTCTATGTGGTGTTTGGGTTCTTGCGAGCTGCTCACATAATCACTGTAATGAACACCTTCAATACATTCACAGTTGAGTCGGGAGAGACAGCGAGAGTTCTTGGTTGTTTTCATGGCCTTGGAGGTTTGGGGAGAGTTCTTGGTTGTTTTCATGGCCTTGGAGGTTTGGGAAGAGTCTGCTCTGTTCAGATGTGCTCGCGAAGCACACATGTGGTTATAACTCAGTGTGTGTGGTGCCTGTGTGTGCAGTTTGCTACCTTTTTGCTAAGTATCAAGTAAGTGGTGTGCAAAACAGGAAATCTTTGTGCTGGGCATGAGAAAAGGACAAAATGTACCGAAATTAAATGAGGAAAGGCAGCCAGAGAGGGTCCTGGGTTGATTTACTGCTGTGTGTGTTGGTGTAGAGGTAAAGTCTTCTCTTTATTACATTTATAATCAATCCTGAATCCATCCATCCTGGCAAGGAATATATTCAAAAGCCAACTATATTTCATACAATCGGGTAGGCAGGAAAACGAATCTGCGTGCTGAATTCACATGGATCCTGGTCTCTGATCACTACTAGTCTTCAGAATGTGATGAGTGTCAAATAAATAATGACAAAAGACATGCACTTGGCCACTATGATGTGTGGTATGTGCAGTAAGTCCTTGGAGGTTGGAGATGATGTCACCGAGGATGAGAACTAGTCTGGGCATCATGGGGTGGCAGCCGGGAGGACGTGAGCTGTGAGGATAGAGCTGAGAGATGTGGACAAGTCTCAGCTGAAGTGGACGGGAGTGTTGGGAATTCCAGGAAAAAGAAAGAGTGGAAAGGTCCGTATTGAAAGATATCGTGGCTTCTGAGTGCCACAGGGACTCCGTTGTCATAGAATCAGATGTGGGCTGATCTCCCTACAGCGCAGCACCTCCCTTCCAGGAAATACTGTGTGGGGCTCACTAGTGTGTCTGGCTCAATGCAGATGAGGGGTCAGACGGAATCACACAGAACAGATTCTCAGACCATGGCACGTGAGAGCCTCTGATTCAGGTGTTCTGTAGGAAAGGGGAGCTGCCCCTGTCTAAGGACCTTGATCTGTTTCCCCTCCATGGGATCCAAGCGAAGACCAGACCCCCTGAGTGTGTGATGCGCAACCGAACTTGTGGGCTCTAACCCCACTATCTGATGGGGTTGAACCTTCTCCCTGAAATAATCCCCAAGCCCCATCCAGTGGGCTCCATCCAGTGGATATTCTTGGTTCATGACATGTTCAGAAACTGACACAAATCGACTTTAAATTCTGAACTGCATATTGTCTGGTATCAGCCAAAGTGTTTTGACAGAGGCCACAGTTTTTCACTTGGAAGGTGGCTCATTGTCTACGTGGACTCAGATGGAGCTGATGAGGCCGTGGAGATCATGTTTTGAGAAAAAACAAAAAAGTACGTGACGTGTTTGCCATCAGACACTGACATCACTTTGTTGGCGTTAGTCCGACTGCTGGGTGTGACTTTCACCCCCTGGACGTTAACGTGCCCTCACTAGCTTGTTTGGAAGACAGAGATGAACTGTCTACCAGTGGTGACAAGTAGACTTGTGAGTCACCGCATGCAAGGGACCCACACATGCCCATGGGCCAGCAGGTTCTGTGGTTCTATTTTGAACAAAAACATCCAATATGACCTTATTTGTAACCACCGTCATGGATTTCATTAAAATGTTTTCTTTTATTTGTAAGGTTTCCCTTAGCACATATTCCTAATAGTACATGATGTCTTTTATTTTTATTTTTCTGAGTTTTATTAAAAGTTCGTATGTTTATTCTTGAGAGTGCGAGAGCGAGAGAGAGAGCAAGAGCGAGAGCGAGAGCGAGAGAGAGAGAGAGAGAGAGAGATACAGAGCTGACCAGGGGCAGAGCAGAGACAAAGGGAGACACAGAATCTGAAGCAGGCTCCAGGCTCTGAACTGTCAGTACACAGCCCGACAGGGGGCTCAAGCCCTCAAAGCCTGAGATCATGACCTGAGCCGAAGTAGGACACTCAAGGCACTCAGCCACCCATACTCCTCACATGATTTTTTTTTTAACTTTAGTTGAATAAAATAATCATAAACACATGGTTTTTATCATCTTACATTTTCACTGTCTTCTTTGAACATAAATATACATGGTCATTTCCAATTTCTTGGTTTATGTTTATAGACATGGAATATATCATTGCATACACCCTACATAAACCTAGGGTTTTGTGTGTTTCCCATTTCTTTGTTTGTTCATGTCATCTGATAGTGATTCTTATTTAATAAGAATAACTCTTTTCAGTGTTCTTGTGAATGGGTCCTGGTATGCATGTATACATAATCTCTAAAGTTTATATTTAGAGATCACAGTAGTGTGTCTCTCGCCGTAAGTAGAGAAGTATAATCCCGTCTCTGAATTTCATGTGACTTGCATCCTACAAGTGATGTATTAGGTAGTGTGCTCACGTCCCTCTCCCACAGTTGATATTACACTTTTTCTCTTTGCATCTCATCTGGATGTGTTGGAACTTTGTTTTTCTGACTTTGCTGAAACATTGCCACAAAGAGAAGTAGAAATACTCGTCACACATAAAATTCAGGGAAAAACGGATATACTCTGGGGCTAGGAGAGTGGCATTAAAAGAGCTCTGTGTTAACTGGTCCTGTTTTTTAATATCAGTTCTGCACATGGCTCCCATCATGGACCTCACTGTGGCACTTGGGAGCTGCCTACGAAGGGAGAAGATACACCAGAGACACCACCAATGGCCTGAACCAGCATTTTGCACAGTGGGATTCTTTGAAGCAGTACACACCTTCTGATGGAAGTGACGGCCTTTGATGCACAGAAGTTGTTGGATGCACAGAAATCGTGTGGATTTATGTTTCAGGCCGCATCTTTTTATAAAAATAGTGTTGATTTAATATTTATTTATTTTTGAGATAGAAACAGAGAAGGATAGAGAGAGTGCGCACGAGCAGGGGAGGGGCATAGAGAGGGAGACAGAGGATGTAAAGCAGTTTCCACACTGACAGCAGAGAGCCCAATGTGGGGCTGGAACTCAGGAACTGAGAGATCATGAGCTGAGACGTTGTGGGATGCTTAGCTGACTGAGCCACTCAGGCGTCCTCAGGCTGTGTCTGTGTTAATTTACGATTGATTAAAACAACTTGCAGTATCTGGACTGACGGGATGGAAACCTCTTCATGTACATCATGGAAAATGTTTTACTTGACACATTATTTGCACCAGAGCATGACAGTGTATGGAGGGGTGGAATCACATCTGTTATGTGGGATATAAACCAGATTCAGTGAAATGCTGAAAGACAGGAACCAGTCAGGACAACTCAACGATGGTTGGGAAGGAACATCCAGAGTTTAATGGTAGAAGAGTGCAGACATTGTCTCTGCATATGAGCCATGCCGTCTCTTCCTCACAATGGATTGCAGACCGTTGACACAGCACAGTCTGCCCATGCTTTTCCAGAACCTTGTGGTCACACAAGATGTAATTCCCTAACTCTGCCATTGTTGCATTGTTCTCTCTTGAGTTTACCCCCTGGCTGTATCTTGGATTCCTCTCTGACTGGAGTGATCCTGAAATAGCAGAATCCCGAGGACCAGCAGGATCAAGCCAGCCATGCCCATGCGGATGAGATTGCCCACTGTGTAATCGTTGGGATGGGAGGCTAGTTGTGGGGACAGAAACGTCACTGAGGTTAGGGGAGACCCAAATCAGCCCAGGGCCTAGATGTCTGTCCAGGGCCCGCACCTCCTCCTGACAGGACTTCACCCTCTATGCCAGTCTCCTCACAGAATTTCTCCTACTCACCAGTGTTGTGGCCCGACTTGTTTTGTGCTGGGCTGATGTCAGCTGTTTCTGAGAACCAAAAAATAGTGGAGAACGATGAGGATCCAATTGGACTCAAACTTGTCGCCTGGGCTGTGTGTTCTCGTACCTCCACACTTCTCATGAGATAAATATCATGCAGTCCCTAATGGACCGTTTGTCTGCTGTAGAAGCATCCCTTCTGTTCTCATTGGATTCTTTCTGTTTCCACGTCTTTTGTGAATTCTGACCCTTTGGAGAAGTGTTCTGCTTTGGCCCAGAGGCTCAGATTTATCGAGAGGAGTGGTTTCTCACACCAGAAGAAATGGACCCCCTGCATTCTCTTGTTTGTTCTGGGCACAGGAGCATGCAAGCTACCTTGCAGGTGTGGGAGCTAGTAGTTATTCAACAACTGAGGATGGAGCATCCATGGATGAGGGATTAGTGTTCGTGGGAACCTGAATTTCAAGAGTGCAGAGGGTTTGAAACTGGGGGCAGATTCCCTTTCTCTCCATCTCCTCCATCTCCCTTCCTGCAGGTCAGCGTTTCAACCTTCAGCTACCAATTCCTCGTCCATATGTTCTCTCATTAAAGCATTCTGCATACAGGAGGTGTACTTACAGTGTGACACATAACACACATGCAGATTCATATTTCCTAAATGGGGCTATCGATTTAGTGAGATGTTAATCTGTATTTCTGCCTTAAATTGTGATTCTTTGAGAGACTATGCATACAGGTAATCTCTGGACAGTCTCACAGAGAAGACTGCACTTAAAAGTGACATTTCAGCTGAATCTCAAAAGGGAGAAGGAGACCGAGGGGACCACACGATGACCCAGACAAGGTGTTTCACAGGGTATAGGAAGAGCATGTCCCCAGAGAGATCTAAGCATGCTCTTCAGTAAGGAATGAAGCAATGTCTGTGTGTTCTTTTTTTAAATAAGTACCTTTTAAAAAATATTTTTATTTACTCCTGAGAGAGAGACACACACACAGCATGAGCAAGAGAGGGTCAGAGAGAGAGGGAGATAGATAATCTGAAGCAGTCTCCAGGCTCTGAGCTGTCAGCACAGAGCCCGATGGGGGGCTTGAACCCACAAACCGTGAGATCATTACCTCAGCTGAAGTCAGGCCCTTAACCGACTGAGCCACCCAGGTGCCCTGCAATGTCTGTATTTTTTGGAGGGTCCAAAGGAAAGCAAGGAGCTGGGACGTGGGGTCTGGTGCATGGAACACAGGCCAGGGATGACCAGATGGATGAGGGAGTCTCCATCATAATCATCACCATCACTACCATCACCATGACCACCATCTTCACCACAATCATCACCATAACTACCATCCCCGTCATTACCATCAGCATCAGCACCATCACCACCTTCACCATCATTGTTATCATTACCTTCATTGTTACCATCACCACCACCACCATTACCATCCTAATCCTCCTCAGCACCATCACCATCATCACCAAAGTCATCACATCATCATTGCCATCATCAACACCATCACTATTATCACAGTCATCATTACTGTCACCATCATCCCCACCATCATCCCCATCACCAAGATGGAATCATCATCATCTCCCCTGTCATCATCATCATGACCACTATCATAATCACTACAGTCATATTCATGATCATCACCACCATCACCACCACCATCATCATCACCATTCTTCTCTTCCCTCTTCATTTCCTCCTCCTCCTCCTACTCATTCTTCTTTTTCCTTGTATCTCTCTGTCTGTCTGTCTTGATGAACTGCTGTAAGATTTCAGGGAGAAAAGACTAATTATTTGATTTTTACCTTAAAAGACAATCTCTTTCCTCTCCATCTAAATGTCCAGAACCAAGGATGTCACAGTTCTGGTCTCCAAACCATAAGGAAGAGAGGAAATCAGTGGTGTTAGAAAATCTGTTGAGCAGGGGTGCCTGGGTGGCTCAGTTGGTTATGCATCCAGCTTCAGCTCAGGCCATGATCTCATGCTGCGTGAACTTAACCCCACATAGCGCTCAGTGCTGCTGCAGGCTCTGTGCTGCAGAGGGTTCGGAGCTTGGAGCCTGCTTTGGATTCTGTGTCTCCCTCTCTCCCTGCCCCTCCCCCGCTCAGGCTCTCTCTCACAAAAAATAAATAAACAAAATAGATTTTGTGTCTCTCTCTCTGTCCCACCCCCTCCCATTCTCTGTCTTCCTATGTCTCAAAATAAATAAACATTGAAAATATTTTTTAAAAATTGGTTTAGCAAGGGGCGCCTGGGTGGCTTAGTCGGTTAAGCGTCCGACTTTCGCTTAGGTCATGATCTCGCGGTTCGTGGGTTCGAGCCCCGCGTCGGGCTCTGTGCTGACTGCCAGCTCAGAGCCTGGAACCTGTTTCAGTCTCTGACTCCCTCTGTCTCTGACCCTCCCCTGCTCACGCTGTCTCTCTCTCTCTCTCTCCTAGAAATAAATAAAAAATATTTTAAAAAATTGGTTTAGCAAAACATTTAGTTGATCTGCAATTCTATTTCAACTGCTTTGACCTAGCATTGAAAAAATGATTTTTAAAAACCCAACACTAATTTTAGGTCACTCTGTGTATAGATCTCCATGCAGAAATTTTAGGTAACAGTAAATTTGCAATTTAGACATGAGAATGAATGACATAAGTCATATGAGTGTTTGAATGATAGATGTCATACAAAAGTAGGAGACTTTCAGTGAATCTCACCATGGCCCAAATTCAAGGAGAAAATGGAATTGTTCATCAGATGGCCAGTTGTAGGGAGAAAAGTTCCTAATTCATTATTTAAAAATCAATTTTTTAAATATTTTATTTATTTCTAGGAGAGAGAGAGAGACAGCGTGAGCAGGGGAGGGTCAGAGAGAGAGGGAGTGACAGACTGAAACAGGCCCCAGGCTCTGAGCTGGCAGTCAGCACAGAGCTCGATGCGGGGCTCGAACCCACAAACCGCGAGATCATGACCTAAGCGAAAGTCGGACGCTTAACCGACTAAGCCACCCAGGCGCCCCTTAAAAATCAATTTTAACTAATAAAGCCCTGATAACAGAAAAATAAACTGAAATGGATAAGTTAGTAATTCTACATATAGAAAATAGAGATTTTTGCTGGTTTTTTTTGTCTAAAAATAATTTGGAAGACAAAAGAAGATATTTCCTTATAATGACCTTCAACCCATCTTAACATTTTACATTGACATCAATATTATGAGGTATTTGATGCAAACAGAATTGACATACAATCTGCAAATGAAGAAGTGAGATTTCAATTTTCTTGTGGTGGGCGTAATTATTATCAGTAAATCAAAGGGATCCATTGAAAAACAAAGTTTCCTTAGACATATAAAATAAAACATAATAATGGGGCGCCTGGGTGGCTCAGTCAGTTGGGCGTCCGACTTCGGCTCAGGTCATGATTTCATTGTTCATGGATTGAAGCCCCGCGACAGGCTCTGTGCTGACAGTGGGAGCCTGGAGCTTATTTCAGATTCTGTGTCTCCCTCTCTCTCTGACCCTCCCTTGCTCATGCTGTCTCTCTCCTCTCTCTCTCTGTCTATCTCTCTCTCTCTCTCAGAAATAAATAAAACATTTTAAAAATTAAAAAAATAATAATAAATATCTAAACTGAACAAACTAAATATTGACAAATAAGTAAAAATATTTAAAAAAGCAAACAAGTGACTACGTTACTCCCGGGAGCCTTGCACGCCCCCACCTGGTGTCAGCTGTGCACCAGTGGCACGAAGGCCCCAGGTGACCACAGGGTCAGCAGAGCAATGCCCCCACTTGGCGTCTTCCCTCTGTGGGGGTGTTGCATGGGAGCACGGTTCAGATTGTGATTTACAGGGATCAGGAGGTGAGTGGAGGTCTCTGTCTACTCAGGATCACCCTCCTTCACCCACCCCTCCTCCAGCCCCTGTTCCCCTCACCTCTGCTGACACTGTAGGATGGGGGAGCCTGGGTGGAATCCCCTGCATTATCCACCCTCTCCTGGGCTGGACCCTCCTCTGTGGGACTCCCCTGCCCCCTCATTTGTCACTGTCTTGGGTTTTCCTGCCCTGATGCACTCAGTAAGGACGGGTCAGAGGTTCCTCACCTGAGACCAGCAGCTCCAGGGGCTCACTGGGCTGTGACAGCAGGTAGGGTGAGGTGCTATATGAGCCGTAGCACCTGTAGGTCCCCCCCTGGGCTGAGGTCACAGGACTCATGGAGAATTCGGCCTGGTACTTCTCAGCTGGGTACTCTGATCTATGACGCAGGGGGGCGTCGGCCGCCCCCTCCTTGGACAGAAGGAAAGTGTCCACACGGCGCCTGGACTGACACAGCAGGGTCACGTTCTCTCCTGAGGCCACCGTGGGTCCCGGCTGCACCGAGAGGGAGGGCGTGGGGGGGAGCTGTCCTAGAGACAGGAAGGCGGGGGAGGGGCTGTCCATCCCTGTTCCCAACTGAGTCTGTCTGTCCTCTGAGTCTCTCCCCTTCCCCTTCCCGTCTCTCTCTCTCCCTGGGGACCCCACACCCCTGGTCCCGGGCACCACCCCCTGGGGCACCCCAAGCACGACCTGTGCAGAGACTGGGGCCCTGACTGAATCTGTGTCCCCTCACCTGTGACCAGGATGTCCAGGGGGTCACTGGGGGCCGACCACTCGGAGGAGAGGTTGTGTCCACCATAGCAGGTGTACCGGCCCCCAAGGGAGCTGCTCACTGGGCCCAGGGGGAAGTCGGCCCCAGAGAGCCCAGCCTGGGGCTGCCGGCCTCGGGGCTGGGGGGGGTCACGTGAGCCCTCCTTGTGCAGAGCGAACCTGTCATAGCCGACATCCGAGCGACACTGGAGGGTCAGGCTCTGTCCAGGGGACACAACAGGGCCCTGCGGGGTCAGGAGGGAGGGCTTCCTGGACACACCTGGGAGAAGACCAGCCATGGATGGAGGGGTGGTTCTCCCCACACCTCCCTTCTCCATCCTGACCCCCGGTCTCCCTGTCTCTCACTCTCTATGTCTCTGACCTGTGAGATCCCCGTGGGCCCCTCACTCCACCTCTCATCTGGGGTTTCCTGGGAGCAGAGCCTATATAACCTGACTGATGCCTCAAACATGGATGGGAAAAATCAGATTCTCTTACCTGAGACAAGGAGCTCGAGGGGCTCACTGGGCTGTGACCACACCTGTGGGGAGTTGTTGTAATAGCCATAGCATCTGAACATCCACCTGAGCCTGGGGGTCACGGGGCCCACAGGGAACAGGGCCTGGAACTGCTCACTGGTGTGTCTCTGGGAGTCCAGGGTCCAGGAGGGCCTGGGTTCTCCTTCCTTCATCAAGACAAACCTGTGGGATCCCATCCGTGAGGCACACTGGAGGGTCACCTTCCCTCCTGAGGTCACGACGGGGCTGGGCAGGGCTGAGAGACTGGGTTTGCCATGGTATCCTAGGAGAGGTAGAGGGGACATTAAATAGGACTCAGATCCCCCCACAATGTCCCCAGGACAGGGCTGTGAGAAGGAGACTCCGTGAGAGCAGACCCCTCCCTGAGGGCAGAGCCTGGGGCTGGGACCCTGAGGGGCTCGCACCTGTCACCACCAGCTCCAGGGGGTCACTGCTCTCTGACAAGCCAGAGGGACTTCGATAGTGACAGTGATACCGTCCTGCATGTACATCTGTCATGTGTGGGATGGAGAACTTGGCCTTGTCCCCAGGCTCCAGTGTGGGCTGTCTGTCCCGGGTCACTGAGTGTCCCTCTTTATCCAGATAGAACTCCTGGGCCTCTAGGATCCCCTGACACCAGATGGTCACAGGTGTCCCCCAGGGGACCACAGGGCCTGGCTCAGCCCAGATGAAGGGTGTGGGGAGGGTCCCTGGAAGGAAACAGAGGATGGATCACGAGACCTTCCCCACCCCCAGTTCCCAGCTCAGCCCCAAATCTCCAATGTCTCAAATGGAGAGGCATTCTCTCTCCATCCACCCAGAACTTCTGTTCTCTATCCCCAGATGCCTGGTGGGTGAGTCCTGTCCCCAGGGAGGAGGTGGGACGGGACCCCTGGGGACACACTCACCTGCCTGCGCTCGGGTCCTGGGGCCCACACTCAGCCCTGCAAGAGAGTCCCTGTGAGAGGTTTGTCCCAAAACCTGAGCAGAACCCCTCCTCCCCATGAGCCTCCTGTGCCTAGGGTCTCTGGCTGCCCTGCGCCTGGTTGTGAGGTGTGTCCCTCCCAGACTAGGGGGTCCCCTCCCCTCCTGAGATCTCACCGAGGAGGAACAGGGCCGTGAGGATGGGGGTCATGGCATCACTTTGAATCTGGCTCTGCAGAGGGAGGAACCTCAATGCCTGCAGGACAGACAGACCCACAGGGTGTGTCCACACGGAGGCTGGTCTGCTGATCATGGGGTTGTACGTCAGCAGCCCCACAGGAAGGGGAACAACCCGTACCAAGGACCCAAGTGTGGTGTCCGTGGTGGTGCAGAAAGTGCACCCAAGGCTTCCTGAGATGCCCCATCCAGGTGAGGAGACCATGGCACGTCCTTCCCTCCCAGAACCTCCCCTATGGGGCCTCCTTCATTCTCAGCCCATCCCCAGGGGTCCTCACCTCACATGGGGTCCCCAGGCCCTAGAGATGCTGCAGGGGATGAGGATTGTGGCTCCTCTGAGGTCTCATGTCAGTGCAGACACAACTGGGACATTTCTGCATGGTCAGGTCAGGATCACCGAGGTGATGCACACAGAGGAGAAATACAGGGAAATGGGGAAGGAAATGCAAACCCTCTCTTTGCCCCACTGTGGGCTTTCTAACTCAGGCTTCACGGACTTTTCTATTTTCCTGTGTCATCGTCCACCCCCCCCTTTCCTGGGAACATGCCTGTGAGTCCCTCCTGCTTCTTCAGTGCCCCTCATTCCTGGGCCAAAGCTTTCCTAGCGATTCTGAGGTCCTGCCTATAAACTTAGGGGGCACTTGTATGGAGTACATGTCACATTTTGAAGGAAAACAGATCTTCACTAAAATATTCCTAGATCATCCACTGTCATCATAACTTTGGGGGGTAATATCCTCTCTCTGAGCCTCAGTTTCCCCATGTGAAGCATTTTGTCCTGAGCTGCAAACCCCAGGGTGGTTGTGGGGGTTTGATGCCCGTGCAGAGGAGTGAAGAGTCACTGTGAGTTTCCAGTCCAGGTGAGATGAGCCTGGGCTGCGTCCTGATGAGGTGATGGGATCCGGGGGTCAGACTCTGCAGTCAGCTGGCTGGTTGATGCACCCACTGGAGACCTTGTCTGATCTGAAAGCCAAGATGCCACTCACAGTATGCTGAAATATGCGGCCACGGACACATGCAGAGAAACGGGAAATGAAATTTCCAAAACTGGAGTCGGAACCACAGCAGGGAGCAGAGACCAAAGCCGAGTTCCCACCGGTGCCTGGGACCATGCAGGGGTCATAGGGAGGGATTTTCCATCCCTGTGGATCCCGCGAGACCCCACGTCTTCTCACGGGGAATTATCAGCACCCCGGGGACGGTTGGAAGCTGGGCTCCCCTCCCGCACGTTTCTGGCTGGAAATCTGGAACACGTGCTCCTGGTCCGGATGGACTAACCCGCCGTGTGCCCTCAAACAGACTAAATCTGGTGCTGTCAGCTATGGGCATCTGTCCCGCGTGGGTGTGCGTGTGTCCGAAGCGGACTCTCATGTCTGGATCAGACAGACTCAAGGTCCAGTCGGGAGAAATGTGACGGTTAATGCAGGGAAACCGCACAAAAAAGGATCGTGAGGCCAGAAGGGGCAGCTGCCCCACCGCAGCTCCCTGGTCAAGCATCAGCAATCACTGACCCGCAGAGGAATCCTCAACAGTACGGGGTCCTCAAATACAGGCCCGAACAGGGAATGCCCGCAGGAGGACGGACAGGTGGAAGAAGCCGTTGCTCACCCTCGAGAATTCCGTTCACCATTCCCGGCCCGAAATGGGTCTGCTCTTCAGAGTCTGTGTCAACAGTGGTGACGTCATCCTACTCCCTCATTCACAATGACGTAAATACAAATGTTGACTTGTGTTTCTTTTATATCTGTATGGAGTCGCCCTTTCACGTTGGAAAAGTTGTCCATTATTGAGGCGCCTGGGTGGCTCAGTCAGTTAAGGGTCCCGACTTTGACTCAGGTCATGATCTCACGGTTCGAGGGTTCGAGCCCCGCGTCGGGCTCTGTGCTGACTGCCAGCTCAGAGCCTGGATCCTGCTTCGGATTCTGTGTCTCCCTCTGTCTCTGACCCTTCTCTGCTCACAGTCTCTCTCTCTCTCTCTTTCTCAGAAATAAATAAAAAACATTTAAAAAAAAGAAATTCTCTAAAAAAAAAAAGTTGTCCATTATCAAAACATTTCAGGAAAGGAGTGTGGGAAGGAAGTTGTGCAGAGGGTCTTAGCTGACTCCTCCCACCAGCAGGAAACCCAAGGACGCATGCGCAGTGATGCATCCTGGCCCGCCCTGCAGGGGCCGTGGCAGCACACGCTGTGAAGATGTAACTGTGCGGACTGAGTTCAGCTTCACTGTGACGATGAACACAGGTAGGAAAATGGGGGAATACGGTGAGAAAACATGAGTCTTCTCCTGGCCCCTGAGTATGAATTGTCTTCCTTCCAAGAGCCCCGATCATGGATTTCCCTGTTATTCTTGCAGCAGCGCCCACATGTTTTGCTAGAAACGTAGCTCCGAGTGGTTTCTGCACCCCGGTGCCCCTTGTTTCTGTTCGCGGGTATCCCCGCATTGCTCTGGTCCTGCCCTCAGCTCCGTGTCAGTCGGTTGGGTTCGTGCTCTGAATATGAAGGGAAAGCTGACCTTTGTGTGAAGATTCAACTATCAGCCAGTGCCTGTGTGACCTTGGGCAATATCAGCCAGTCTCTGAACCTCAGATTCCTCCTTGGGAGAGGTTGTCATGAACCTCAGTGCTCAGAGCGGGTGTGGGGTCAGTGTTGTCATGTTCATGGGGAGGCTCAGTCCTCGCTGATTTTAGACTCGATGAAGATTGTGGGAAATGGTGCATGAGAGGATGCGTTGTCTGACTCCACTGCCCAGGTAGACAACGGAGGGGCTCACTCAAGAGCCCTGGTTGGTTCCTAACACAGAGAGATGCTACTTGCCGTATTTCTGAAAAATAAAGCCACAGCCAAGTGAAGAACAAGAGAAAAGAAAGTTCCCACATTGAGGAACCTCAAGAGATAAAAGAGGTCAAAGCTGAGTGGCCACCGGTGTCTGGGACCAGCATAGGGTCATCACTGGATGTTTCCCCTCCCTGTGGACATGAGAGGAACCCCAGGTCTTCACAGGCAGGGATGGGGTCAGATCTCTGGAGAGGTTAGAGGCTGTGTTGCTTCCTCCCCCATTTTTGTGGATGGGCACTCGGATAATTCTGCCAATGGAACCAGCCCGTGGGCCACACTGAGCCATTGCCACACGGATGCACAAGAGAATTCACTGTCGTCAGGAAGACGCGGACCTCTGTGAGTGTGAGCCCTACACTGGACCCATCCCTGCAAGACACAGTCATGCGTGGATGCTAAGTTTGTGGGCCTGGATGCCACGGGCAGAAACAGCCGCAGGCATGCATGACCACCTCATCGTGAATGATCCCGGCGCAGCTGTAGGAGGAAACCTGTAAGGAAGATGAGGTGTGTGGAAATGAGCCTTCCAGCAAGAGTGTACAGCAAAGAGGAGTCCTGATAAGAAGAAACAGCCACAAAGTCAATCTTCATGCTCAATGAGAATGCTGCTATCACATCCATGGACATACAGCGCTAGGAATATGTAGACTTATCTTAAATGAAGCATGTGTTTCATATTAGAAAGATGATGGAGGAACTTGAATTTTAAAGAAAAATCTTTATTTTTAAGAGAGAGAGAGAGAGCACGAGTGGGGCATGGGAAGAGAAAGAGGGACAGAGAGTCAGAAGTGGGATGTGGGCTGAAAGCAGTGATGATGGAGAAGCAGAAAGATGATGGAGAAATTTTAATTGAAAAGAAAAACTGTTTGTTGTTGTTGTTGTTTTTTGACAGAGAGAAAGTGGGGGATGGGCAGAGAGAGGGGGATAGAAAATCAGAAGTGGGATGTGGGATGACAGCAGTAAGCCCGATGTGGGGCTCAATTTCACAAACCACTAGGTGTTGACCTGAGCCATAATGGAACGATAGACCGACTGCACCACCTAGGTGCCCCAGGTATTTACATTTTTTAGACAAGAATATGATTTATACTTGAAGAAGAGGCAATTATAGAAATGATTAGAAATTTTAATGGTGAAAAATCCAGTTGAATGAACACCTGAGCTTTCATTCTATCCAGGGGAAGACATGACTGAAGAGTTCATCAGGAACCTGGAAAACAGTATTGAGGAAATTTTCCAGACTGTGGAATAGAGAGGCCAAAAATGGAGATTTCAGGTACTTGGGAGTAGAATGAGGAGGGCCAAGGTCACATCTACTGTGTCAGAAAGAATGGGCGGAGAATGCTCTCTGCCCAAGAAGCAAATAATTGGGCATTTTCCAAAGATGAAGAAAGACCATTTAAGTGGTAGTGGATGCACATTTAAAAATAAAACCTGAATGTTGACACTGAATGGTAAAATGAAGAAATCCTGGGTAAATTAGATTTTAAAAATCTTACACTGAATTGTACCTGTAAAAATGGTTAAGGCTATTCTTTGTGAATTTCACCTTAATTTAAAAATATGCAATGAAAGCTGGCCTGGGTCTGCAAAAACATCCTAAAATTACTTCCTGGGGAAAATGGGAATACTTATCCAGGCTGTGTTTCCCAAAAGTAAAAACAGGTGTCAGAAGCTATTGACAAATATCCCCAAGGAATTAAGTGTTAGTGTTGAATTCTATACTGAGCCAAATTACTACTGAGGGCAAAAGTGAGAGCATCTGCCGAGAAAAATTTCTATGTTTGGGGATCAGCTTACCACATCTAACCTGTTAGGAGTCATTTCCCACACGTTAACGTCACCATGTCAGGATGTTCCTTTAAGAGAGATGAGGAAGGGTTGTGGGTTAGTGCCTCAACCACCAGATGGATTTCCTCTCCAAGCATATGGATTTTGTCCTTTCTTTGAAAAGAGAAAAAGTTATGAAGTATCTGGATGTAGAGAGAGAATACTGTCTGCCAAAGGAAATCTTAGTGGTGACTTCCAAAGTCTCCCATACTATCCAGTCTTTCCCAAGCCTCATATAATTATAAAGTTTATAAATGTAATGTCTATTTTGAAAGCTTCTTTGTACTAATAGAAAGTCCTTCATCAAAATTTTGTTTGGCCACATTGTTCTGGTGTTTAGATAGAATTCAAGGTGCTCCTGAAATATGGATA